CTGCAAATAATGAGGAAAAGGGGCTACTCTGAATAATCTAAAATAAGTAAGAAACCAATCTGCTGGCTCTTAAGTTCTAAAAAGGTCTGTAAAAGGCTTCAAGAGACACATAAGCATGGAAAGCATATCACTCATTGTAATCATCTGGGGTTAAAAACACCAGAGAGAAAGAGCTAAGATGGGAGAGTGAAAAAATTTGGTTTGAAACAGAAATACAATGTGCAGTGATCAGAACGTGAATGGAATCAAGTAAATAGGAAACTCTGTAACATCCAAGTTACAAATTACAAAGATAAGAAAGAGTAGATATCTGCTATAAATGGCATAATGCTGTTTTTAAGAAAGTTAGCAATCAAATCACTTAGGTGAATTGATTGTATCAACAAATCACCTAAAATCATTTGGGATTTGAATTTCCAGCCCCAGATAGAAAATATGAAACTGAGATAATAACTGGTAAGAGATTGCAAGAAAAGTATAATAAATGCCATGATAGGGCATGCTTTGTAGACTCCCCTTTTAAGTGTCAAAAATTGCTTCTTCGTGGAGTAAATTCTCAAGGTGGCCACAAATTGGGAGCAAACATAGCAAACAAATTGCTTTCATAATAAGGATTGTTATGAACTAATAATCAGCATGTCTGTAGGACTAAAACAAAGCAAAATGAAAACGATCAACCATCTACCACAGTGATTTTCAGTTTTCAGAATAGGAACTACATGCAGATGAAACAAGCTTAAAAGAAATTTAAAAGAGTAAAATTTGAAGGCAGCGTGGAGACTCTGCAATGGAAGCTGAAAACAAATCCATGCCTTCTAAATGAACTTGTAGAAGACCTAGAAAGGTGGGAGGGCTAACAGAATATATAAAGAGTATATAAAGGAAGATATTTGAAGAAAAGAGATCCATAGAACAAATGTTAAGTTTGAGATGGCCACATCACCAGAACCAGATCACCTATCTGGTCAAAGAGTACTGAAGAAATAAAAGAATGAATTAACTGTGATTACTAATAGTATTTTCTTGCTTAAAACAATTTTATTTTGAGGAATGGAAAGTAGCAAATTTGATTAAAGTTTCTAAATAATGCATCTAGTCAGGTCTATAGGCCTGCAGACCAGGGCATCTGGGAAAAAGCATATTGTAGAAGAGACAACATAGCTTTCATAAAAGTAGGTGTGCTGAGAAGGAAACAGAGAGCATATCAACAAAGGGGTGTTGGCCTTTCAGGATTCCAAAAGATTTTTAAAATGTCGTCAAAGAATCTAGGTTCTGTGGGATAGGGGTGAAAATCTTGATGTGGGTTACTTATTTCCTGTTAAAGGTGGAAAATAAAAGTCATAGGTGAGCAGTTCATTTGCCTGATGAAAGAGTTTGTGCTCAGGAAGGATTACTCTGTCCAGTATGCATGTAAAGGAGCTGTAAAGAGAATGGATGATGCAGTGACACATCTTGTTGATGATACAAACCTACTTAAAGTCCTTTAGGTAAGGATGATTTGCAAACAGCTATAGAAAACTCCTAAGTATTGACTGGCAGTAAAGTGGCTGCAGTGAAAATCAGTGTTGATAAATGTCAAGCAACGCGTGAAGGAAAGGAATCCCAACTTTATATGCACAGTAATGAGTTCTCATTTAGTTCTTTTAAATGTTCCTTTAAGCACTCATGAGAGAGATCTTGAAATTGTAAGCCCTGGTTCTCTGAAAACATTGCTTCAATACCCAGCACTGTTCAGAATGCCAAATCAAATACTAGGAATTCTTGGTAAAGCAGAAAATATCATTATACTATGATATAAGACTCTGTAGATTGCAGGCAGTGATCCGGTCCACCACTTAAAAAAAGCATAGTGAACCAAAAGTATGGAAACCTCCTGCACAAAACCAGAATAAATAGATCAGGAATGTGATATGTCTTGTGTTATTTTCTATCTGCCAGGTAGGCGTCTATGTATGAGCTAGCAGTCTGGTCTCCCAGTATAGTTTATGAAAATCTCAGCTTAGTCACTGCAATTTAGAATGTGATTCATGCTGTCTGATCGCAAAAGCTTGTGTTTCGCTCAACGCCTGTTTTAGTTTGCTACTGAGTATAAGGGGACTATATAGTGAGTGAAGAAAAATCTTAAGTAATAGGTTAAAAAAAAGCAGAAGGTGGTTCTTCAACCTAAAGTTTGAGCTTATAGACTATTTTGGATGCTTATATTTTATGTTCAAAAATCAAATAGATAATGTAAGAGAAATCCATCAAGATCTGATTGACAAACAAATAGAACTTCTGGCTCCAGTATCTTTGAGCATAAATTGAGCAGAACAAGGAGCAGAGAAGCTTATGCTTTCTCTTGCCAATCCTTCTTCCCCAAGTAAATATGCAAAGGTTGCTCCAAAAGTAATGCCTCCCATTTATTTCCATGTAAATTACAGCAGGTACAAAGAGCACAATAACTATAAAGCAAATTCCCAGCTACAAAACATTGTTTTTCAACATAATAGCCCCCAGGAGCTATGCCTTTTCACCAGTAATGAACAAGAGCCTGCATGCTGTGCTTGTAAAAATCTGGACCAATGGAGGTGACCCACTGTCACCACTGCTGAAATGCACCACCCACCACCTCACTGTGCTCACATCCATTGTGCTCACATCCATTGTTTGGTATCCATAAATGTTCAGCAAATGGCAATGATTGTCAATGGCTGAGATTTCTTCCGTGGAGGAATTGAATAACATACCTTTGCTTCATGTGCACTTCCATGGCAAATGACAATGTGTCAGACTCCCTCTGCTGCCATCTGTCACATGGCAAGAAAATGTAATGGAATAATGGTGGGAAGGTTCAACCTCTACTGACACACCATCAACATCTGCCTCTGGCATCGTGGGAGGCATTACTTTCAGAGCAGACCCCAGGTGCTCTCAGAGATAGGACTGAGTGAGCTGACCTTGTCTACTGACTGATTATGGCCACTGTTAGGTTCTAGACTTGTGGTATTTGGCTGGTATCTGTGCTATATCTTCTACAGTTCTTGCTAATTTTCCAAAGCATTTTAAAATATTTTCTAACAGAACAGTATGGATCATTTAAAATCCAATCTACCACCTACAGCATCTCATACCATTGAAATTCTTCCTTGCATAAGGACAGTCATAATGAAAATAATTTGGGGCTGTTTTTCCTTTTGCTGTTCACACTGAGAATTCATTTACACCCTGAGCTATTTAATTCAAAATAGGTTCGAATAGGTCTCTCCTTGTGATAGTGGAACATGACTCACCATGTATATTTGTTTTTAAATTGCCAACTCTATAGTTCTGCAGTTTTTTTCTGCTATAAACCTGTGGTGGGTTTAGTTTTCTTTGTGTAGAAGAAAAAGAATAATAGAAAAGTTAATCAGTCCTACACTATGCAAACCAAATATTAAAAACATAAATATTACGGTAAAGCATTTCAATCATATTGATGAAAATCAGAATCAACTAGAAATTCCAAATTACTGCCTCTATAGCTGAAAAGTACTATACGAGATACAAAAATGATTACTATTTCTTTCTTTTTCTAAAAAGAATTCCTAGTAAATTTCAGTCTCTAACACAGAAATAAAAACCAAGCTTGAGAATCGTGTATGTTGGCTGGTGAACTGTTTGTCCACAGGAAGGTTTGTTTAGTGTATTACTACAGTCGTTGATTTTTTTTAATCAGACAATATCACATGCTGAATCTTTGTATGGATTTTTTCTTTTCTGTCTTCAGTTTTAAATGGTAAGATTATTTGCATTGACTAACATTCACTTGTTGTTTCTTACATTTTGATTTGTTTAACTAATGAAAGTGCTAGTAAAAACTCAGGCAGAATAGCAATAGAATGCATAATGTAAATTTTAGAGATGATGAAAAAGCTTTTTCATTTTTTATGTTGAAAAATTAGCATATCACTGCAAAAATCAGTATACAGCAGAAAAAAATAAAAAGTAATTAAAAAGGAAATAACTTCTCAAATAGGGGAGGGGACAGGTTTTCATTTTTTTCCATATATTTCTGTGATTTCTGTGATTTCCTTTTGTTTTCTTATGTCTTACCTCTGTTCCTAAGCATTCCCTCTTTGTAAAGTAAGATATAGTCACTAAAAGATGTTGACTAATCGTGACAGATCTTCTGTTTCACCTTAATTCGGATATAATGGTTGATCTACATAGTCATTTGTGTCAACCTTAGGTGATACTAGTATTTGCAAATCAATATTTCAGATTGAAATAACTGGTCTGAAATCTGCCAGATACTTCAGTACATGCTCAAAAACAAGCAGTTTTTAGGCTTAAACCTATGTGATTTGCCTGAACAATGAAGTGTGATCCTTTTGCCATAGAAATTAATAGCAAGTGAACAAGGCTTAATGCAGGAACTGCCTTAGAATATATTGCATTGCCAGAACTGATTTTTGCAGCAGGTGCTTTCCATTTATTCTGACAGTGTTTTATATTTATATACAATTGGGTGTTGGTAATGTTAGATAAGAGTTGCTCTCTTCATAATGCATGAGATACTCGAGATAAGATCATAAATGCAGAAAAGTCTGCAGGGGCTTTAGCATCTCTTTTCTTTTTTTATTCACTCAAATTGAGAAGTGTTTTTCCTCTGCTTTCATATGTTAAACAGCATTTGTCCATCCTGAGGAACACATGCTGTGCACATGTAAACAATGAGACAGAGAGAAGCATGCCCTACAGTGCACAGCCCAGTGGGTGTTCTGCTTAGGGATTTAATTTAACTAGCCAGAAATTATAGTGAAGGCTCCAAATTGCTACCAATTCCTGAAATGCTGGACCCTACCCTTTAGACCTAGAGCTCATAGCAAGTATATTAGATGACTGTTATCTCTCTGAAGGTCGGTACATGCCTTCCTTTCAGCTTGACAGGGAACTCCTTTGCCTTGTTAATCAGCTGGTAGCAGACCCCATCATTTTGGAAGTTATCACTTATCTTTTTTTATGGTATTTAATTTGTACAGGTTTATCGAGCAGAAATGGTGCCCCTTAAAGAGAAAGTGCATCAAGTCAATGAGCTGGCTCACCGGTTCACTCCCCCTGATATTCAGCTCTCCCCATACACTCTCAGCTGTCTGGAGGACCTGAACACAAGGTGGAAAGTGCTACAGGTAGGTCTCCTGCGACTGCTTTCTTTATGCTGCATTTAATTTATTTTTCTTCTATGTGGTTGTTTTCTCCCTGGGCACTAAACAGTCACCAAAGGAATGAAAGAGGAAAGAGGTCAGTATTGGAAAAGCAGTTTCAGCAAGGCTATTCCTATTAAAAAAAAAAAAAAAAAAGTAAAAAAAGCAAGGCCAAATGCAAGTTGTTGCACTCAGAGCAATCCCAGATATGTGTACAGACTCACTGAAAGCAGCTCTGTGAAGAAGGACTTGATGGTCATGGACAAAGAAAAGCTGATCATGGGCCAAGAGTGTGCTCTTGCAGCTTAGAACGTCAACAATATCCTGGGCTGCATGAGAAGAGAGATGGTCAACAGGGAGTGGAAGGGGACTGTCCCTCTCTGCTCAGCCCTCATTTGGCTCCATCTGGAGTACTGTGTCCAAGTCTGAGGCTACAGTAGAGAAGGAATGTGGAGTGGATCCAGAGGAGGGCCACAAAAGTGGTCGGAGGCTGGAGCGCTTCTTTTAGGAAGAAAAGGTAAGGGAAGTGGTCTTGTTCAGCTTGTAGAAGGCTCTGGGGAGACCTCATTGTGGCCTTCCAGTACTTGGATAGAAGTTAAAAGCAGGAGAGGGACCAACTTTTTACACAGTCTGACAGTGAAAGGACAGTGGGAATGGTTTTAAACTAAAAGATGGGATATGTAGATTAATGTTAGAAGGAAATTTTTTACTCAGAGCACAGTGAGGCACTGGCACAGCTGCCCAGAGAAGCTGTGGTGCCCCATCTGTGAAGGTGCTCAAGGCCAGGTTGGATGGGGCCATGGGCAGCCTGAGCTGGTTGGGGGCAGCCCTGCCCATGGCAGGGGTTGGGGCTGGGTGGGCTTTGTGGTAACTTCTAACCCAAGCCATTCTGTGCTTCTATGATTCTGTGAAACATGCTAATGTATTCTCTTAATTTCTGGATTCTTTTATCCAGAAGTAAAATCAGTTAAGCCAGTTTTTCAGACAGTTAGAATTTTCATATGGATAAAATACTTAGAAATTTATTTACCTTTTAATATTAGTATTTAGAAAATCTTGCTGCAAAATATGTCATGTGATAACATCTTTCAAGTGACTTATCCATGTGTTACTTAAATTTTTATGGTGTATTTGTCCTGCATATGAATAGAAGATATTGGTACTGCCAAGTCTAATAGTCAAAAAGAGATTATTATTTCTTTATTCTTCTCCAAAATGAATCTTGCATTTCTGTGACATCTCCAGTTTATCGAAGTTAATGTAAATATTAACAGCAGAATTTTTGTTTTTTTCTACTTTTTTCATAAATCAGCAGCTTGCCATGAGAGTGCTAGGTTAAGTAAAAGATAATTCTTGATCTTTGCTCATCAGTATCTGATTTTTCTTACATTCTCAGGGTAGGCTTAAGGTAACATTATTAAAGCAGATGAACAGAAATCTAGAAGATAAAATAAATGTTCCTCTAATTTTTATCCACATATGTGAAAAAATTACTTGTATTTCCAAAAAACAGCAGCTAATTAGCTCAATACGCCAATTCATAGAGAAATACCTTCTTTTAGCTAACAAAATAACTAAGTTCCAGTGGTTTGCTGAAATATGCTTCATTTTCCTTTAGAAAAAGGGAAAATGGGAAGATTTTTCAGAGTGAGAGCATATAGTATGTGAAAAAGTCAAACAAATCTGAGAGGAAGTCTGATATAAGCATTTTGTTGTTATCTTTCATGAAAGCATTAGGCAGAGGGCCAGCTTGAAATTGTAGACTATTTTAAAACATATGCTGGAAAACAGTTGTTCACACACATTTCATAGATAATATGCTCTTTTTTCAACAAGTGCAGGAAGCATTGTGAAGTTAGATCCTTGGAGACAGTATGTTAGAGTGGGATGTTAGAGCTGATAGAACTGGTGGTAATTTGGAGTTTTGCATTTTACTGTCTTCTTTCATATTTACTTAAATGTACTCTGGAAGCTATTGGATAGCAAGGTGAAAACAATCCAGTACAACTCCAAACACATCTTGAGGGGAAAAAATGTAGGCTATTTTGAAGGATTATCATGTATAAAAGGCCGATATGTGACCCTTGGGAAGAAGAGGATCTATGTTCCTATAATTTATTTTTTCTACCTGAAAAAGGAACAGAGTTTCTGATACAGAGCTCATTTGTTTTCTGCATATAAAGTCTAGTGGATGTTTGCATTGACAGTCACTCATGAGGGCACTTAGAGTGTTACATTTTCTGTCTTAGGGTCAGGCTTAAGTATGTATGAAAGAAATTTGAAATTTTGGTCCTGCAATAAGGAAATCAAAGATAGAAATGATTTTTTGTGTGTCCTACAAAATTGTTCTATTTCCAAGATAGGTTTGTATTTTGTGTTTCCCGTTTTCAGTTCGATTACAACTTTTTTCTCTCTCTCCCTCTCCCTTTCCTTATTCTTCTCCATCCCCTCCTATCCATTCCCCTTTTATGTGTTCTGTTTTTGTCAACGTATACAGGAATATTCCTAGAAAAAATTGTACATTAAGGAGGATGTAACTACAAGTGAGTGTGAAGCAAGCAGAATTGTAAATTTCAGGATTGTCTCTGTTGGACATTATTGCACACTCAACAAAGGGAGAGCTGCCTTCAGGCCCCAGCTCGCTGCTAGGCAGCCCCTCAAGGCAGACCAGGAGGTCACTGGTCAAAGATGGTGCAGTGAGGTTTGTAGGCAAAATCTCTGACACAAACAGAATTCCTCAGTATGTCACAGGAAACCTAGCTTCAAATTACTGAGAAAGATTATTTTAAATCTAACCACTTATGTTCTTAAAAGCAAAAAGGGAAATCCTTATTTTCCTGAAGTAAATGTGGAGTTGTGACAGTGTCAGAGTCCTGCTGGCCTCCAAATATAAAGGTCCCAACAAATACTAATGATATGTGCCTTCCAGTCTTCATTCAGATCCAGTGAATCTCCAAACAATTGAGTCATTCTGTTCCCACCCCTCACTTGACAGGTGGATGGGCACCAGGGCAAGCAAGTTACATCAAAATGTAAGTTGAAAGCAGCACTGACTTATTATAACAGAGTTTAAATTTAGGATTCTTTCTCATCTCTCTTCCGTGCCTTCTCCAACAAAAAAAAAATCCTCAAAAAAGAAGCAAAGTAGCAACCATATATACCCATAAATGAAATGTTCATTCATGACTGTCACTGTTGAAATAAGTTTTCCAGATTTTCACAGAATCATAGAATGTATCGTAGAATCATAAAGGTTGGAAAGACCAATAAAATCATCTAATCCAGCCATCAGCCCATGCCTGTGACCGCTTCAGACCATGTCACTCTGCAACATCTGCGCATTTCTTGAACACTTCCAAGGGTGTTGACTCCGTGACCTCCCTTGGGCAGCCTGTTCCAATATATGTATGTTTAGCATGGTGATGGTCTCAAAAGATATTCTTTAGATCTAATCACGTCATTAAGGTTTGAATATGATTAAGGGTATTCTCATATCATTTTGTCAAAAGGAAAAAGAAACAAACAAAACCCCTCTTCTAGTTATTTATAGTTCACTTTTTGAAATTGACAGTCACTGTATGTGAATCTCATACATGAAAGTTGTAGTCATGTGCTTCTATGGAAAATCTTCCCTACTGTTCTGTGCATCTAACATTATTAAAAGGAAAGCTACTTACTCCAGATAAAGCAGCAAGTATAAACTAAGGCTATATTAAAAGTGGTTAAATAGAGTGGCAGATGAGTCAACAGTAATAAGGCAGATATTTTTTCCTCTTCAAGAGACAGAAAAAGTCACATATGTATGAAAGTTTCATATAATAAGGATTCAGATTTCTGTGTTCATTATGTTTCTATCATCTTAGCAGTTCTTCTTCTTATTTTATTTGTTCATTTTAATAACTGATTTTCATTTGTGTGCTTTTTCTCTGTTTTTAACTGTCTTTTGATTAATGTCATTTTAAATAGTTGATGAAAGCAAGAGACAACATTTTCTGGGGCCAAAATTCAGGCTCATCTATAATTAGACTAATAAGACATTGCAATCATAGTTCTTTTCAATCTTGAAATTTGAAACTATTATTGTAGTAGTTGCAGGTTCCCTCTTCCCAGCAGAGGGAGATTTTGATCTTTTTGGGAAGTTGAGTTTTTCCATCAGACTCTTAAGTAAAAACGTTGTTTTGTATATTCCACGACAAATGGAATTTCTGCCAAACACACAGCTGTCGTGGTTCTTTCATGGCCTCTATTTAATTGGCTATTCCGCTTGGCTTTAGAAGTCATATACCCATGGTTGTTTTTTTTCATTTCTGATGGCTCAGTTTTGTCTAATGTTTGTCTGCATAAATACGCATATAGATCCTATTTATTTATTTATATGCTAACAAGTAGAGAAAGGATAGCTATCTGTATTGGGATTCAATGTGTGTCAGAAACTGGAAAACTTCCTTAATAAATTAGGAGGATATCGTCATTGTTCTTTGTGGCATGTTTAGATCAGTCAGTGAAAGGATGTGTCTAAAATTATAAATAGGCATGATAATCACCAACAGGCCATGCCAACTGGAAAAAAAAAAAAAAAAAAAAAAAAAAAAGGTCAAAGTTGTGATGTTCTACGTGATGAATTTCAGTTTGTTGAAACAGCGGGTGTTTTTGTTATAGGACATACATCCATTTTAAAGTTTTGTGATTCCTTCACTTTGAAATTTTGTCCTCTTTCAAGGTTTGTTTTGAAGAACCAAGTAGATACGCAATGATTTACCCTATTTCATATTTTCATATCCATATTCAAATTTCTTTTGGTATGTTTTTTCCTGTACATATGTGTTTTTATATGTGATATTAAAAAAATGAACAAACATTGACATACGTGGTTTGTAAGTACAAAGACAAGCACAGAAAATGTAGGAATTTGAATAAAATGTCTTACATGGACAGCCTTAATTTATTATCCTGTTGTAGAATCTTTGCATATGTCCTATATTGTG